ATAGAGAGAGAGAGAGAGAGAGAGAGAGGGAGGTTGGTGATGGTGATGGCTAACAGAGGTGCTTGTGAATGCTGATTACAGGCGGATTGGTGCTTGTGAATGCCAACTAAAGGCGGTGGTTGGTGGTGGTTCTAGATAGTAGCTAGTGGTGATTGGTAGGGATGCCAATTATAGTTAAGGATGATGGTAGTGTGTGGTGATAGTTAATAATGGTAGGTAGTTGGATTGTGATTAAGGAAGGGTGACGGTAGCCGGTGGTAGTTGTGGTTGTGATTAAGGAGGGTGATGGTGGATGGTGGTAGTTTATAATGGTAGGTTGTGCCGACTATGATTGTTGTGTGGTTGAGAATGATGGTGGTAGGGATAGGGGTGGGGGTGGTAGGTGGTGGCGGCTATGGTTGAGGATGGTGGTGGTTGAGTATGGTGGCGGTGGTAGTTGATAATGGTAGAAGGTGGCGGCAAGTAGTAATGAATTTTTATGATAGCATCTTAATAAAATTAAGTCTTTGTTATAGATCTTAATCATACAGACCTATTAAGTGGTTGTGAACCAAAAACAATAATTCAGACTTTAAAAACAAACATACTTAATGTCTGAGACTTGAATTGATTAAGATTCAAACCTCCACTAAGTGTAAACAAATGAGACCTTATTTAGGCACAACAAGAACCACAAAATTTTATTAACAAGGCTCTCTATTATGAAATTAATTTCGAATTTTAGAAATTAATATCTACCATAATAAATTACGAATTATTTCACTAAAATTTCATAATTTCACTCCTTAGTTCAATTTCAAAATTCTTTCATAAAACCTTATTTAACTCCCCATGTTAAGATTCAGATACTAATCAATCAAATTAAGTTACTGACAATTTAATTTGTTGATTACTTCCTTTAGACTTTGGCTTAACTTATTTCATGTGTCAGATACAAAATTCACCAACCGAATTTACACATGAAAACTTAAAAGCTTCAATAAAGGAGTATCATCAATCTCAAAACCAAGACACGGATTCTATCAACTAATTATTATTTCACCAACGTATATTACTTTGTTCAATTGACCAGGCTTATTGAGTCATGAAAAAATCTTGTTTTTTAATAAATCAAAACGATAAATAACACATACAACTAATAATAATTGCATCAAGATTAAGAATATAAGCACATTGAATGGATTAGAGAATTTTTTTTAAGCCAGTACAAAAAATTTATCTCTACTTACAAAATATACTAGGACAAGAAGTCAGAACTAATTAAACAAGTCCCATAATCAAGATAAATTATATTTAATCTTGTGCTACAACCATTCCGATAGTATGACTAATTATATCATTAGATTGTGAACATAAACTTTATGACTTATAAGAACTGATGATTTAATCTTCCATATATAAGCTAAACTCTATAAACTAAATTATCTACTATATAAAGCAAATGACATACAAACAATTACATGATCGATTTAAAATAAAAGTTTATCGAACTAAGTAAATAAATAAATAATTGTTCCATAAAGAATACTATAATAAAATGCGTGGTGTATTTGTATATTCTAACAGACATATGGTCCTTATATAATACTAGGAAAACTGTAGTTTGGGCAGCAAATAGGGATAAACCACTTGATTATCGTACTTATAAGTTATAACTAGACAAACTCATCAAGGCAATCTGGTGCTTCTCAATGAATTTCAAGGCTTAATTTGGTCAACACATACTGCTAGGAATAAAAAAGGAAGGAGTAAAAGAAATGAACTGATTCGCCATTATCATGATTCATGGCTACATCAAATTCGTTAATAGAATTGATGAAGCTGCGGTACCTCATTATGTTTTTTTACTGTTAGATCATGAACTAAAATCAATGAACTTGTTCCTTGAATACAAAGTAGATTCAAGACAAAGTACTAAGAAAAGCAGTACAATAATGTTTGTCAATTCATAGTAGTTAGCTAGGGTGATGTTGATATTTGAACGCAATCGTTGACCCACAATCAGGGACGGCGGAAGGGCCAAGCAACTAAACATTTATTTTTAGTCCCCCAAAATTTTAATGTCCCAAAAATTGAAAGTGGTTAGTTCTATGGCTTAAATTATTTTTAGAAAATATTCAAGTTGTAGAGAGAAGGGGAGTCCTGGCGTAACTGGTAAAGTTGCTGCCATGTGACCAGGAGGTCATGGGTTCAAACCGTAGAAACAGCCTCTTGCAGAAATGGGTACTATAGACCCTTGTGATCCGGCCCTTCACCGGACCCGAAAATCTTTGTACAAAAAGAATGTCAACTTATTGAAGGCGACCAAAAAGAGAAGCTCAAAAAAAAGAGATATGGCATAAGGAGTTCTTTTGTGTCAGGAAATGTATATGGCATTTTAATAGTATATTGCAAGTCTCATTTCCTTTTTCTTTTAGGTCATTTCTATCTAATTCTTATTTATACTTATGCTTTCTTTTCCTTTTTCATATGCATCGGTATATTTTGTCAAACAAAAAGTGCATTGAATAATTGGAATTCCACGTGTTTTCATGTTTTCTCAAGCTTTTAAGCATTGATTGAGCAAATAGAAGCAAGATATTCTCTGACGACTTATTGATTTATTTTGATTTCAATTGTCAAGCTATCAATTTTCAGAATCACGTTCAATATTAATTGTTCTAATATCTTTTTTATTTTAAATATAAATTTATTTTGGTCATCTTCAAAGTACATAGGAGTATTATTTCTGTCATCTAGAAAAAGTGAAACGGGTTACCAAAACACACACACAGAAAAAAATCTCTTTTTGACAAGAAGTATACCATGTTGTCTTCTTATCTTTTCTTCTTTCTACATCATTGATCCTACCAATAAATTATGCAGCCATGGAAATGAAGATCTTATCACTTCTCATATTTATGCTCTTTTTATCCTGCAGTCTCAACAGCAATATCTCTCTTGGAGGGGACACCATTTCTGCAAATGAATCTCTTTCATTTGGCCAAACAATTGTATCTTCAGGTGGGAAGTTTGAGCTTGGTTTCTTTGAACCAGGTAACTCTCTCAATTACTACATAGGCATATGGTACAAAAACAATATTGTTTCTCAGGGAACAGTAGTTTGGGTAGCAAATAGGGAGACACCAGTTAGTGATGCTGCCCTGTTGAAAATTATTCAAGGCAACTTGGTGCTTCTTGATAAAAATCATAACTCAATTTGGTCAACAACACATACTACAAATAACGCCACTCGAAATAATGCAGTCGTAGCAGTTCTTGGTGATGATGGCAATTTGATTTTGAGTGATGTGTCAAATTCATCAACACCTTTAACACTTTGGCAAAGTTTTGACAATCCGACAGACACACTTTTGGCAGGTGCTAAGATTGGATATAACAAAATTACACAAAAGAAGCAGGTTCTAATTTCATGGAAGGATTTTGACAATCCGGCACCAGGATTGTTTTCCATGGAACTAGACTGTTTGGCTTAAAAGTTTAACGATGTACTTTGTAAGCGATAAAACAATCAAAAAATAAAGAAGGGGTAAATCGTAATCAAATATAATAAACCTAGAGATGCAAAGATGATAATATTGTTGTAGATCTAGTGTTGCAAAGATGATAATGTATGTTCATAAGATATTTTCGTCAGAAGTAGAGATATAGAGAGAGAAAGACAGAAAAGGAGAGAGTTGTATTAGATCAGCTACCCCCTTTACAATGTGGAGGTCCCCTTTATATAATAGGAGACCTTCCTCGAACGAATCAAAAAGTTAAAGAGATAGGTAACGTCTCCCTAGTGTAGACGCTGAGTTCTAAACAACGTCGCTTTGGTCCTCACGGCCGAGTCGTACCCGCTACGTTTAGTCGGCGTACACTCATTGGGCGTACCTACTGGCGTAGAGATACTGAGGGTCAAATTTGACCCTATACAGTTAGTCCCTCCGCTCGTTGGAGACGTGTTTGGTGGGCGTCTTCGGCGGGCGTAAATGCGAACCTCGTCTTGGGAGAATTTGACCTCGACCGGGGGCGGCAATATGAATGAAGTGAAACATTTGACACTGTCGAGCCGCTAACGCGTGGCTTCCTTTTTGGAATGATGTCATCGCCTGTATGCATCATCATTATGTTTGCCCCCGAGGCGGTTCAGAGGATGAAGTGACGTTTTGGTTTCCGGCGCACGTTTTGAATCATGACTCTTCGATTTCTGTGCAATTTATCCTTATAAGTATGAGAAGGGTTTGATC